TCAACTACTGTCTTGGCCTTCCACACTTTTTCTCAAGTATTTAGTATTTACTCTTTCTTTTTTACCATATTAGCTTTATTCCTTCTCAATCCCATTGTGTATTTTTTTGGCATGATGATTATTCTTTGAGAGAATCGTTATGCTTGCATTACCGAAAAAAGCTTTCGCCCCGCTTTATATATAAAGCAAACCACACATTACAACCGGCCATACAACAAGAAACAAGAAAATACATCGACAAGATACACAACTCCATGGAACAGCTAACGAGCTCCGAAGGACCAGTAGGACATCGGAGCCCACGACGGCCTCTGATCATGACATCAACGACTGCGACAAGGGAGCTATTCTCCACCGGAGGAAAGCCACACTCTGTCCCTCCCATGATTATTGCTATTCCAATATGCTTGCATTACATGGTTACTGCTATTCCAATAGATTAGTTACTTATAAATTCAGAAAATTGTGTATTATATTCTGTAGAGCATGATAGAGTGATATATGTATTTTTAGACATCTAGGGCCCTATAGTTTCGGGAAAGATTCAGGTGATACCAAGTCTTAGGTGATACCATGATACAGACTTCTGGACCGTTGATTCTCAGATCCTACGGTTTCTGAGGAGCTCTAGTACCCGCATGTAATTTTGAGACTCTTGAATGATTCTTTTGCAAAATATTGAAGAGCCTCTAGGAGCCATCGGATCTGAGATCCAACGGCTCATAGAAGCATGTATCATGGTATCACCTAAAACTTGGTATCACCTGATATTTTCCCTGTAGTTCCCTATAGTTTTTTTCCTTCTATTTTTCTTTCCTTTTTCAACTACTGTCTTGGCCTTCCACACTTTTTCGCAAGTATTTAGTATTTACTCTTTCTTTTTTACCATATTAGCTTTATTCCTTCTCAATCCCATTGTGCATTTTTTGGCATGATGATTATTCTTTGAGAGAATCGTTATGCTTGCATTACATGGTTACTACTATTCCAATAGATTAGCTACTTAAAAATTCAGAAAAATGTGTATTATATTCTGTAGAGCATGATAGAGTGATATACGTATTTTTAGACATCTAGGAAGAACATCTATCCAATTAGTCCCCTTCAAGAGAATCTAAGAATAGTTCATCAAACTTGTTTAAAAAAAGCCAAATCATGTTTTGTGCATGACGTGCACACCTTGTGTTTATGTGTTGCCTTTCTCATTGTGTGTGACTTGCCTGATATAATTTGTGTCACTGTGTCGATCTTGTGTGCTGCTTATGTTATGAGTTTCAGTTGCTAGTGTTTCTTGTATGACTTGTCTGGAAATTATGTCTGTGATTACCCCTGACAAATGTTTGTATGATATTTACCTATGCTATGCATGGGAATTGCCTGGACTACCTTTAAGGAGTTTGCCATGGTTTGATGCAACAAATGATGTTGAGTAAAAAAAACTACTGCGTAACTTTCCGTAATCCCTTGGCCAGGGGCAACTCTAGTGGAGGGGTGTGTGTGCCATGGGACCCCCTCCAAAATTGTGAAATAAATTTTATCATATACTTACCACTAAATATTCATCAAGTTGTTGCTATTCTAAAATTATTTTTTTGAAATTATGATGATGTTTAGTGTAAACTTTGAACTGTGCTCCCCCCTCCAAACATGAAATTCTAGGTCTGCCACTGCCCTTGGCCGCCTTTTGTCTTTCTTCATTACCTTGGTTATGAGATCATAATTCTAATTGGACGCTCTTGGGCTCACGCCAGGTATTGGCTCATCAACATCCAAGTGAGTCAAGGTCTCAAGTGCGGTTGATACAAATAGTTATCAAGTCGAACAGTTAAAACCGATGCAACTACATCAATGGCATGCAAGTTATATGAAGAGAACCATTAGACAAGTTAAACATTTAAACTGAGGCAACTACTTACCAATGGCGTGCAAGTTGTGTGAAGAGACGCAAAACACACTCATATATCAGATCTGGCAACTACTATCCTATATCTTGGCTTCGGGCATCGGATTTTATGCCCACAGTGAGATTGAAGGCTATCTCTAGCGGGGAATCATGAGGCTGCCCCATGTCCCAGGGGATAATGACCAAGAGCAACCCTACCTCGAGCGGTGGTCATGAGAAGGAGTTAGAGAGATGGAGGGCTACTGGACATATATCTCTTTGCCCCTATTGTTCGAAAGTGCCCTTCTACACCCGAGCTCAAATGAGCTCGGGATGAACAGTAACTTTAAAAATATTTTAAAAAGTTCAAAAAATTTGATTCTTTTTAGGCAAACTTTGACAAATGTTCTAAGAGTTTGCAAAATTTCAGCATGAAATCACATCTGTGGAAGTTGTGGCAAAAAAAAAAGTAGTGCTCCAAAATGCTTTCGAAAGTAGCATTTTCAGAGTTTTGATTTTGTTTTTTTCCATGAGTTCTACTAGTACAAATGCCCGTGCGTTGCAACGGGCGAAATTGCTCAAAAAGTGCAATGGGCGAAAAACACTTCAAACCTGTTTGGTGCGCAATTACGCGCCATTTCCTATATTAATTTTTGATAAACATCGGTAATAAGGTTACATTATTATCGTTTTTCGGAGCATGAGTTGTGGACGTGAAGAACCCACCTAAACATCTTTCATTCGGTTTTATTTTATGCTTTTTGGAAAACCATGAATATTTCTTTGTTTTCTTAAAAAATGAACAGATTTTAATTTGTGTGTTCTTGTTAGAACTGAAACATATTTTGAAGACGAACATTTTGAACAAATGATTTTTTTGGAACACAATTAATCTGGATCGGGGGAGTATTAAGATTTTAAATTCTTTGAACAATTTTGAATGTATTTTTAGAAATGGACTATCTTTTGGAAATTTTGAGATTTTTTTAAAGCATGAACATGTTGAAAATTGTGAATATTTTTTGAAAGCAAGAACAAAGTGAAACACTATTTTTTTAAATGCACTCTCGGTGTCCGTATTAAAAAGGATTTTTGGTGTCCACTTGATCACAAACCATCCCGAAGATGGCAACCAAAGACAATGAGCTCGGCGAGAAAAATGTAAAACTAATTTGTAATTCCACAGAAATGACCCTTGCAGAATCCATACAAAACGCAATCGAGCCAACCATTTTATAATGATATATTTAGAAGAAACTGAATGACGCTGCATGTTGTTTCAGAATCACGTTTATATTATCTCCCATAGAAGAATTACTTCAGTTCTTTCAAGACAGAACCATACAACAAAATGTTTCAGATGTCAGAATACTCTGAATCAGTTTATACACTCTGAAATATAAATTCAGGCCATATACATCCCGCTTCTGCAGCTAACCTAGCAAGTATTACACTTCTAGAACCAAACTTGAAAGTGGAATAGCACATAATTAGTAAAGAAGTAACCTCCATTTGAAGGCAATTGCATGCATTTGTGAATCCAAGCATAGTTATCTTGAAGAAATAATTCTGCAAATACAATATGGATCAAAAATTCAGAGATCTCATGAGAAGTGGACTGATGCCCAATATATCGGGAAACAATATGCATGATTCACCATGTAGCTAGAACTGAAGCAAATTATCTAGAAGGAATAGAAAGAGAAATTAGTTCATGATCAAGGGACCAAATTGGTAAACAATACTATTATATTGAAAATAAACATCAACATCCGTAAATTTCACAATGACACAACTATAGTCTTGTGCCACATTCGGTTACACGCCATGAAATGGAAGAGAACCGCACATAGTGGTGAACAGTTGGCTTTGCCTGACCGAGCAGCCGGAAACAAAATTTGCAAATTTCAATTTTTTTTGAAGTAAACATCGGAGCTTCAAAAACATAGTACAATGAAATGGATAGAAGAAGAATGCCAGCTAACTTTAAGGATCTTGTCAACTGCAGCATAAAACCACAGTTGCAATAAGCTAAATTACGTAAAATAAAGATAAAAGTAACCAAAGTAACATGTTCCTTTCTAATCCCTATTTATAAGTTTAGTCACATCTTGCTACTGGCAAGGAGGGTGGGATTTCGAGAACTCAGCTGCACTACTGCTTATAAGGCAATTAAGCAGAGACCATATGTGGCTTCGGTCCAGGATTTGGTTTAGCGCCAAAACAACACTTGGATCCGTGAAACAAACAATTCATCTCAGCAAAAAGCAGCTACAAATATTTTATTGGGTCATGTAAAGAGAATGGGCAGATAACACCAATCAGTTCAGGATTGATCCAAGGCCACACAGACCTTTCCCGAGATTCACTGCTGCCAGAATGGAGCACATGCATTTAGTTAAGCATGAATATTTGCCGTGTGATTCCACAGTATGCAGTGTACGTACTTTAGTTAAGTATGGATATATATCTGAACTTGCAGAATATACATTGGTCAGTGCTATTATTTTTTATTCAAATTTTGTGTTCCACCATGATATAGAAATTGCATATAAAATACAGTTCAAAACAGGTGATGTAAATGAAATTACATATATTTATCACCGTTGTATGTTCAGTAAGTGTTCATAAATATATTTTATTTACCATATATTTTTACACAAACACAACATGACAACATCCGGTTGGTGCCGCCCGGCGGTGAGGAGGCAGCGTTTTCGTTAGCACCAATAACTGGAGATGCACACTAAGGCGTGGATTGAGCTACAATGGGTGTGGGATCCAGGAGAGAGGATGAATGGGAGCAGTAAGGAGGGAGCGTGTGGGAATGGGGGACCCGTGAGGAGCGATGGAATAGAGGAAGAAAATCCTTTTAATATAATCACTGTTGCTCCTTATATAGGTGCAGCTACTACCCATGCACACCTAACGCTAGGTTACAGACAAAATCATGGTATAAGCACAGGGGTTCTTATAGAGCAGACATGTCCAGTTTTTAAAGATTGCTTCTATTTTATCCTTAAGATGTTTAGTGCCATTGGAATTTAGAGCATATCGGTTCTGTGACATAAAGAAAAGCATGATCTTTGATATACTATAGAACAAACATAATCACTATTCAGAGCTTGAAAAACATCATCTTGAAGAATGATTTTTTTTCTTCAAGAATTCGCCACAAGAATCCTGTAGAAAACACTCCGATCCAACATGAGGTCGGTGGAACTACATACATGACATGACAAAGAACAGATCACTCACCTAGGATTGCTTTTAAGTAGCCTCGCTCATGAGCAGGATAAGCGGCCTTCAGCGGGATGTAGTCCAATTCGTCACCAAAGAATCTAAAATCGACACAACACAGGTTGTTATCGTGGTGGACGGCAACAACACCCTCCCTAATGTAGATATCGCCGCAAGGTGCATTGGTCTGTCCGCTGCCGCCACCCATCGTGGCAACATCGGGATGATGGTGACTCGGGCCTGGTTGCCCCTGGACTGGAAGAGCCTGATGGCGCGCGCCTAGAAAAATATCAAACTACATCTTAAGCAATGTCTACATTCCACCAAAATGGAAAAAGGATGCAAACAGAAATTTAGTATAATTGCAAGGAAATATGTACTAACGAATTTTATGCAGACTAAGTGCACAATTAGGAAATAAAAAATACAAGCAGTCAAATACATGACCAAATAGCCGTCAAGTTCATTGACAAGAAAACTTGTAGAAATGAAGATAAATTTTAGACAATCTAAGCAGCGTGGACCCCATATATAATACATGAAAGAAGAGCAAGCCCATGTAAGTTCCTGACCCCTGAACCATAGAGGCAAGCTATTGTTGTAGCAAGACAAAATGGAGCTGCAAAGCAGGTTAAATTGCAACTCCACATCCAAACTTAGCATGGCACTACATCTTTCTTGTTCAGAAGTAATTGAAAGATATCCAAACATTGGCTAACATACTTTCAGAAAAGCGCAGTCCCGATCATACTCACAAATAGAAGTTTTAGTTTCCAACTGGCAGTGATTTTCCCCTACCACAAGCCTCTGCCTACAGCTTTAAACTGAACCAACAAGTTATCATGTCATTTATTTACAAAGTAATGCTTAGAAGACTAATTTCCCGAGGGCAAGAGTCCAATATACTTTCAGAATGTGCAGTTTAGATTATCTTTTCTGGTACCAATTCTGAACATAGCACGACAGTTTAGCTCCTGTTAAGCTCACAGTATTTAAACCGAGAATTGCTTGCATGTCATGAATTTTTTTTGTAGTCGTAATCCCAGTAGTATTTACTTGTGCATTTAGGAATATCATAGTTAAAGCTAAAGAGGAATTGTCCTAGCATAATTTACATTTCAGAAGCTTACAGTAGTAATGTAAATACAGATGGTTGAGAAGGAAGGAAGGAGCAGATGCTGCGCTGCTCCAGACCGAATCAAATCAAGGTGGTGCATTGTAGACCCTACAATCTATCCATCCATTCAATTCATATACAATCAAGTATTTGCACAGAAGGTGCAAACAGTCCACTGTAGACACTGCAGCAGAGAATAGATAGAGCTTCATCTGCAGAGCAGAGAATCGAATAGAATCCAACAAAGAGGGGAAGAAAAGAAGAAAGACATGCAGATGGTGGAGGCCTCAAGGATGACGACCTGAAGATGGTGAGGGAACCCCATCACCATCAGGAAGAAGAATGCTTGAGCTACTAGTCCATGGCGATGTTGGGTGTGTGCCTGCGTGAGGGAGAGATGTAACGGCCCGAGAATCATGCTACAGGAATCCCCTGCTGATGGTGCCATGTCATCACTTTTACTGTTGCTAATCCTCATTTGTATTCAAACACAATTCAACTTCAAATCTATAGTCAAAATTTAGAAACTTGTCAAACATGAAAACAAAAATGTTCATCATGTGGCAAATCTTCACTTGTTAATATTGGTGGTGAACCAACCTTTTTGTAAAATGTTTTAATGCCCAAACTGTTTAAAACAGTAGCCATTTTATTAAAAAAATGATGACCATATACATTTTGGCCCACTTGTAAAAGGGGCCACAACCTCCCTGTCCTCTGGGCCTCGCCCAGCCCACACCCCCGCTGCTAACCCTAGCTCCTCCTGTCCTGATCCCCAACTCCCCCTCGTTCCCCACTCCCCACTCCTCCCTCT